TTTTAAAGGAATGGAAGTCTGGCAATATTAGCTGTCATAACTCACATTCAAATTCTTTCCAGGAAAATTTTGAGGGCCAAAGTCTCAAAAAGTTTTAGAAGATAACAAATCCTTTCCTCAAAATGTTTACACAGCGGTAAACATTAATGTTACCAACTTTGTGAAGCTATCAGGTTATATGAATAGAAAGCTCTGAAAAAATTATCTTGGGTATAGCGTCAGCAGACATTTTCAAACATTAGCAAAGGAGTAGCCGAGTTGTCTGGAGTTACATACCTAAATATAATACTGTTCCTTCTTATTTTCAGTGTCAAAATGTATACCCTAAGAACACAAAAATATGCTTAAAGCTTTTTCCATGCTTTTAGAGCAGGCTAAAATATTTAAATCTGTAAAAAGTGACAGAATAAATACATTAAGTATAAATCTTAACCAAGTTATTACGTGTAATAAATGCATTCTTTTAAAGAAAGTGCTGCAGTATTTTTGATACTGTGACACTAATTCCTCTTTGACAGAGAAGTGCCAACAAGAGGGTAACCAATAATTGCTAACTTTTGCCTAAGGCAGAAAAAAATTATAATTATGAAAAATGAGCCAAACATACACTATTCATAAGTATATACCAAATCTGCACAAGTGATACAAAAATTCTGGTTTATAGCCATAATCATGTGGTTATAACAGAAGTATCACAATTGTCTTGTCTCTACTTAACGCTGCACTGTATCAACGTAAAATCACCACGTTTTACACAGCTTACTACTGAACATCTACCCAACAGATTACGCATGTGGTTTTGAGATCTGAATGCTCCAATCCTCCACTCCACTTCAAGCAAGATTATTGAGATTGAATCCACATTAGTGCATAGTCCCTCTCCAAACAAGGCTCACACCACTCTAATCTCATAACCCATTCAAAATATTAAATCGTCCTTGTTAGAGAAGACATTCCAGTCTCTTAATGAGCAATCACAGGATAAGCAAGGCTTTAAAGTATATCCAGGGCTGTAACACACCCTGGCTGCGATATGTACGAACCCTTGTGAAGTTACTCCCTAACTGCACTACTTTCCATGGGTTTCAAACACAGATGTAGAAACTGTACCCTTTACCTTTCCCCATCACTACTGTGTCTGAACGGTTAAAATGTTCTGCTGGGTGAAAAGGGTACTTGTCTGGGGGCAAAGGAGTTCCCACAATTAATGTGTAATATCAACTCAATGTTTTTGAGTTCTCTTTGAATAAATACGTTAAACAGTAACAGATTATAAATTATTTAGTCAGACATGAGTACCGAATTTTACTTTACTTTTGCAAAGTGAATTAATTTACTTTTAATTCACCATGGTGCATGCAAAAATTTTTTGATTTTTCAATTTTTAACACCCCTTCATACTCACTGCAGCTGCCTAGAGCATGCTAAACTGCTTTGCAGGAAGATCAGGCAGGCATGGGACTGCAATTATGTACCACAATACCCTTTTCTGGGTTCACAGCTCTATTCATCTTTTAGAAACACTGAAGGACAGATTGGACACAGGGGAACGGATTAGCCACAGGACGACCTGTATTTCCACACAAAAGCCTAAGTGTGGAAAAATGGCACCCTGTGTCACCCATTCTTCACTTCCTGAAAAAACCATATTCATGAAAATAGACATTTAAACAGCTCTTTCCCACTCACCTCAGAACAAGCATTCATTGTTTCTTAACACCATTTAAATGGAAGCAATGCAATGCTACTACTAAACTGCCCTAATTCAAAAATGTATGTAAAAATATTTAAGAATTACGACAGGACTACTTCCAGAAAACTCCAAGTTCAGCATAGGAACTAAACTGAAAAATTAACAGCGTGAAAACTCTCAGTTGACTGTTGCAACACACCTTCTCATATTTACGAACGTGTCTGAAGGAGAATTTGGTTCTGGTAATAAGTTTCAGCTGGATGTAATGGAAGTTCTACACACTATAGCCACGCAGTACAACTGAAAATGTAAAAATATATTGTGTTCATAGGTGATTGACAGGAGTTTAACACAACAGCTAACATCACTAATTCCAAGTGAGTAAAAGGAAAATAAATACAGAAAAAGATGTGGCAATTGTATCACTTTGAGATATTGTAAGAAGTGAAGATTATGAGAGTTTTCTGTGAAGACCTCCCTCTGGACAAATAACATGCAGTAAATATTACAAAACATGTAAAAAAGGAAAAAGTGTGCATTAATAAGTGAAGTCAGATCTTTAATTAATTTTACATGCCATTCTTCTTAAATCAATTGTCTTGCATACAGAAGAGACGCTTGGTGTCTGAACCTGTACTGTCAAATTGTCTCACGAGATACGTGCTATCAGCTCATCTGGGCACACTAGGCAAACCGGTGGCTTACTTGCCTGTTCTTTGGGACTACAGGAAATTATCCTTCTGCACAAGAAATAATGAAATGAAAATGTCCAGGCATTTAACTTAGCAATTTGACCACACAGCTGAGTTACAAGCAATGAGCCCATGTAGTTCATTAGGCTCCAATGGGAAATTAATCTTTTTGCCAGGAAACCAACAGTCTAGCAACCTCATGTGCAATGAGACATACCATTCCTAACTTTTTAGCCTTTCACATTGAAATTTTCTAACTCTGATATCAGAAAAGAATTTCAAATCTTCTGAAAGTAACGTAACAGCCATCTCACTTGTATTCTTCTTTATACATATTTGTTTAGAAAACTAATGTGGTGGGCATACGGTTAAATGATTTGCTAGTCCTTTCCTCACACTTCTTTCCCTTGTTTTCTACTGAAAATAATAACAAAAAAGAACGTTTTAAAAGTGAAAAAGGAAATGTAAATCTTGCTTTTGCAAACTGTTTACAATATATAGCTTAAATCTTCTGTTAGCTATTTCTCCTCTTAGATGCCTGCATTTGAACATATTCTGCTTAAATGAATCATTTTTACTGGATATTTTAAAAGTTCTTCGTAAAGAAAAAACTCCGTTATATCATATAGACTTTCAATCAGTTCCACTGCACTATTCAGTGTCATTACTGAAACTACAGGGAGGAATACACACGCTGCTGAAGTAATTATACCAAAGGGGTCAAAATCCTATTGTGGACATTAGCACCCGTCAGGAAAAGGCTGACAACCAGCCCAATACACACAATCTGTATTTACAGTAAGTATACAGTCCTCTGTGTTAAACAAAGCAGAAATTTTTTTTTCACAAATATAAACACACCGATGCAATGAAGTTATCCGACCAGCTCAAGAGCTTCAGTTCTCTCTCTGCGGTCCACATTAAGAGTGGCTGTAATCACTGGAGAAGCAGCAACGTAAAATGTGTTAAAGTCCCTGCTACATTCTATTTTTATATATTAACTTGCTAGCTTTCTACTTCTACAATGCAAGAAGAAATAACGTAAGTGAAACAAAATGCTTCTTCCTTTATGGATTATGTGCAGTAACACAGGTCTCAAAATCAAGCAGTGAAAGACTGAAGAAAAAAAGAAAAAAAAAAAGCAGCGTGACAAAAAGCAGCCTGAAATGACTGGCATTATTTCATTCCGCAAAATCTCCTCAAAAAGTCATCTCTTTAGACAGAGACATCTAAATACACTAGTCGAGCATTTTTAAAAGAATGTTAAAGAAGTGACAATGTGGGAGGCATTGCACACAACGCAATTAAAGCATGGATAGGTTTCTTGAATAAATCTCTGGCACTGGAGATCTCTGGATAAAGCTTCGTAATTAACCAACTCAGGAAAATCAGTGTTTATTCATTTCAGAAAAGATCTGTGAAAACCTACAGCCTCATGCTTTTTTTTGGACTGACACTAAATTAAAACCATTAATACTTCGGCGGTTGCAAGGTTGTCGCTTTGCCCAGTCTGGAGTGAAACTTTGTCCCAGTCTCCTGAAAGTTTGTTGGTTTTTTTTTTTTTCCACGCTTTGCACAGCCAGCGCTCCAAGCTGAGCTGGGCTCCTTCTGCTGGCAGCTACCATCTCAACTATACTACAATGCTAAAAAAGAATAAACGCGCTCACCAAAACCCCCACACTGTCGTGTTATATTTGTTAACGCTGCTGAAAGAACAGCACTGGGCTTTCCCACACACCACCAAATACGTATACACATCTCTCAGGATTCACGCTTGAATCTCCGACTGCAGCTTGCTTTACAAACAAGCACGGGAATCAGTATTTTAGGGGGGGAGGGGGGGAAGAAGAGTAACTTCCTGAGGAAAGAAAACAAAAAAGAGCAATACGAGGGTTACTCCCCTAGAAAATTCCTCTATTCACTTAAATAAACATCTTTTTCTTCCACCTAATTCATGCAAGAAAAGAAGAAAAGAAGGCCTGCCACACAATCCCAGCTATTTTCTCCACTAAATTGTAATCACAAGGTGGAAAAAACAGGAGCCTTGAAACCACGCAAAGGCCTCTTCCAGTCTTGGGGCAGCGAGGAGGAGGAGGAAGATGCTGAATGCCCAGGATTTGTTCTGCCCTGCCCTTTCCATAGAACTTTAGTGCCATCTATTGAAAATTCACCGAACGAGGACGAGGGAAAGGATGCCGATTGATTCGGTATAAAAACAAGACGTTTAGTTTTTAAGGGGTTTTCGGTGTATTGATACTCCCACGATGACTCCTGTTCTGTGGTCATCCGACAGCAACAAACATTTTCTGTGCGCTGTCCGTGCCCCGTAAAGGAAGGAGACACTGGCGAAAACGTCGAACACGAACATCACACACGGATTTTGTCTGTACGCACGCACACACACACACACACACACACACGCGTACTGAGAATGTAAGACTAAAGCTACCTATTATCTAAAGGAACAAAAACGAGCAGGCTTTAACGGAAAGGCAAAACGGCGTGGAGGCACTGCTGTAAATAGAACATACTGGAAACAGTAAAAAATAATTAAGGCACCTCGTAAAGAGCTTAGTAAGAAAGAACAGCGTACGTAGACATGCAGAGATAATTACCTTCCTTAAGAAACTGTGAGTGGATGACAAACACGAGAAAACAGCAGATCGCTGCTCCTGCTAGTGCCCATAGAGCTTTCAAGAGCTGCATCTCGGTCTGAAACTCAGCAAATACCCAGAAAGTCACACAATGAATTTCCACAGCGACGCATCAACGCTTCCCTCCGTGCGCCAGGCGCGGCGGCTCCCGGCGGGGACCACACTCCCGAGCAGG